CATGTTGCTGCCATCAAACTGAAGACGAGCTAATAGTTCTTTTTTAAATGGCTCTTTTTCTCAGTTTAAAGATTTGAGATGTTTTCCGTGTCGTTCTCTGAATGAAATATGTGTTTATGATATTTTCAAATAACTGCATTCTCTTTTTAATTCACATTTTACACAGTGTCCCGACTTTTTCAGCATTGGTTGTGTATTTTGAATGTGAAAGCTCTACATTTGTGGTTTGCTTTGCAAATCCATGGCCAGGCGGTCACTGATGGGTCACTACACCTGCATGACTGGAGCTTTAGCAATTTCATAGTAACAGCCACCAATTTCTAGCAACCACTTGCACCCGGTTGTGGAATACTCATTTTTCTGTAGTGGCCAGTAGTTGCCAGGCGATCTTTAACCAGTTCTCTGGGCCTATGTGACTGAGCCTTGGTGAGAAACAAATGCTTTATTTTGGTGATAAATCTGGGGTACCTTCACTCAGTGTGTGTTGATTTTTTCCCTTCCCTAAACCCCTAAGCCCTAAACAGGATAAGCAGCTAAGAGAATAGATGGATGGAAAATAACCTTGAATGAAACTTAAGCTCTTCGATGTGTCGACTTTACTATAATGACTGAGAGCGAATGTAAATCAAGCCGCTGGGAACCAGTGATGTAAGTGACAGTAAACTCAGCAGGGGTCTCAAAGCTTGTAGCAGGGAAATTACCTTGGCAAAATTAGGAACGCTAAAAACAGGGTAGAAGACATTATTGCATTTTTTTCAGGGTCCTTAACCAACAACTACAAATCCTTCAAGCTTTACACTATGACGAATGAGGACATTATGTCAGGCTGTTAATCACAGAAAAGGATGCAAAACTCAATTTCAAATAACTTCCTCTGATTGTTCTGACTTTTGGCATCCATTCTGTTGCATTATGTAGCAGACTCCACCCGTCCTGAGCCAGTTAATGACACAGAATCATAATTTATAACATTTATTTGCAGATATTTGTTGGCTCAGGCCTGATGACCTTAAAAGGTTTTGCCTGTATTGTCATCTGTGGCTTTAAACGTGACTGTATACAGGAAACCACTAACACAAACAGGGCCACAGCTGGCATGGTCTGTGAAACCCGGACTACAACATCATAACAGGACAATTATTCTCTTAATATCCAGAGGAAGTTCAGATACACGAGTAGCTACTGTAGGAAATGTGTAATTACAAATCAGCTAATTGGTTGTTTTCTGTACTTTATTCAACTCAAATCACAGCAACAGTGATTTGCCTCAAGGTGCTTTAGACTATAAGGTAAAGACCCTGCAATAGTAGAAGGAAAACCCCCAAAATCAAATGAACTCCAGTGAACAAGCACTTGGCAACAGTGGAAAGGAAAAACTCCCAGTTGAGCGTGAGGGGAAGAAAACAGGACAAAAGAAACATTGTGAAAGAGAGCCAGAGATGAATAATAACTAATAATTAATTGGAGAGTCATGGATAAAGACAAAGAGAGTGAAAAGAGGTGAGTGAAGAAGAAATACTCAGTGCATCATGGGAAGCCCCCAGCAGCCTAAGGGAAGGGTCAGGGTCACCTGATCCAGCCCTATCTATAAGCTATATCATAAAGGCATAAACACTGAAGGCTCTGCCTCTAATTGTTTTAATTTAAATTAAAAGAATTAAAATTTAAATGCAATTCTTTTTTACTTTTAAAATTTACGACACTGGTTCTCAAATTCGGGTCCAAGACAGGAGTCAGCAAAATAATTTTCTCTCGATCATAAAAATGTGTTATATCCTGACTAAAATGAATATATAGGTAGTGACCATTTATGACAGTCATCCATGTCCGTCATCCATCATCCACTTGCACTTCAACACAGAATACACATTATAAAAAAAGAAATTAAAAAATGGGGTAAAGTCATGTGGTCTAGTGTATTTTGGGGTATTTTTGATGTGAAAAAGATTAAATGTGACATTATGTTTGGATGCAAACTATAATGTGATATTTAGAATCCACACATGCCAGTATCATTTCCCAAATGTTGTCAGTACAAACAATGGCAGTAAGAAGCATAGTTTTGATAAAGCTTTATGTAGGATTATTATCACGTTGACCATCAGATGAACCTGCTGACATTGAAGGAGAGGTCAGAGGTCAAATGTGACATGATATTTTAAATCTTTATATGGTACTTTCTATGTGTTGACCATATACACCACACTTGTAATAATCATAGTTTCTAAGTTTTAATGCTTTTTGTCAATTTTGTCAAATTTCATCAGAATTCATTTGAAACTTTTTGAGCAATCCTGTTTACATATAACGACATGCTCGCACAGACGGACATGCAAACATGCTACCAAAAACATTACCTCCTTGGTGGAGGTAACAAGTATGTATTTTTTCTCAAATTAGTTATAATTTCATTCAGTGAGTTAATGGGTCATTAAAATAACAGCAGGAATGTTTTGCACATATTAGCCAGTTAGGTAGCTGGTGAGAAGAGGCAAAACTTTTACCTAGTCCACATCATCAAGTGATGACTGACCCATGCCAGGTTAATTGAGAAACTATGCAGGTGGTAATGTCGTATTTAGTTTTAGTGACAATACCATAAGAAGACCAAAGTGCACCACTGGACTAGAAAATTAGACACTTGAAAAGTCATAATGCTGTCAAGCTGAATCCAAATGCAATAAGATTACCCTCAGAAGTATATAATTGATATAAGCATGATTTAAAATCCATTTTTTGTGTTTAACACTATGAATTAGAAATGTCTCTCTGAAATATGCAGTTTTTACAGTGAGATTCGTTCCAGTGGCATAAGAGTATTTATTGTGGTAAGATGGTATATGACAGCGGTCCCCAACCCCCGGGCCTCGGACCGGTAACGGTCCGTGAGTCGTTTGGTACCGGGCCGCGAGAGTTGAGGCTCAGGTGTAAAATGTATGGTTTTCAGGGTTTTTATCGGTTTTCAGCGTTATTTTGTTATCGTTTTTATCGTTAACTCTGTTTTCCTGGGTCTTTTCACGTGTGTTATGAATAAATTTTCTTTTTTCGGTACCGGTACTAGTTTTATTTTGTTGTATTTATCCGTGACACCTTAAAGGCCAATCCGTGAAAATATTGTGGGGCATAATAATAATAAAAAAAAAGGTTGGGGACCGCTGGTATATGATACTATGTATATTTAATCAGTGTTGGGATTATAAGGGGTTTCTCTCATGAAATCTTCCTCCACTCCAAACCTGCTTTGTGTGATGCTTTGTGGGATTTCACATTTCCCAATAACACTTGCAAAGTAACACATTTACTGTGCGTAGACTCACACACACAACAGTGATTTCTGTCCTTTGGTAGGGCACTCAGTCGATAAGGTGGAACATTTTGAACGTTCAGCAAATTCAGAGGCAGTAGAGCAGTGCAGCTACACGACTGTTCGGGATAAAAGAAGGTGCTACAGGCGCAGTGGATGACCTTTTGACCTCAGGCCTGCACCAGCTCTTTTGTAGACTATCATACATAATCAAAGATAACTTTGGATGAGAGTGGAGATGAGAGCTAGCCGTTGGCTGACCCTGTTGAACTAGGAGGTTAGTCAGTCAGGAAAGGAACTTCAGTATTCTTCCTAGAGCGTGGTAGCCCCTTCCTGTGTGAATAACAAATCCTGGAGGATGTCCATACAAAGTCTCATTAGTGAGTAAGAGGCATACAAAGCTGGCATGCTCAGATGATGACATGTGACATGATCACTCATATATGATGAAGAGCATATATTTTTGCATATAACACATAGTTTGGATGAAAGTCTGCTTGGAGAACTTGTCACAAAGTCTTAAGAGTACAGACCAGGCGTGTGTGTGTGTGGTTTGTGTGTGGTTTGTGTGTGGGAGTGTTTTTTAGCATGGACCAAACAACAAGACACAGATCATTAACCCTAAACGAGACTCATTTTTCTGCTGCTAATGATGGCTTGTATCAGTATGACTAACTAATGCTTTAAATCAACTGAATTAACACCAGTTACTGTAAAACAGCCACAACCAAAGGTTTTCTTTGAAGTCCACCAACAGTAGGGATATAGCCATCAACGCCTTCAACCTCTAAGGGGAAATCTGCATTATTGAATGGCTCCTATAAATCTTGCAAATCCATTCTGAGCTTTTTGCTCAAAAACTGTCCCATGTGTCAAATAGAAGAGCTGAAGCGTTAATTCTATTTTCACTTTGGGATGATTATTGTGTCCTTTTGGTTTTATTTTGTTTCTTCTGGCTGACCCTGAGTTTACCTGGCAGATAATTTGCTAAAGTTTTAGTTGAGTTTTGTTGTTGCTAACATTTGGAAAAAGGCACTACCCTTCATCTCATTCTCATCACACTGGACATACAGTTCAGAGTCAAAGGAAACCAGGGACACAATTTCAGGAAGTTTTCTTTGGCCATCTGAGAAAACCGGAGAGGAGATTTTTCTGGAATCCAATTTTAGCATCGTCCGAGGTTTTGGGGTAGGCAGAGGGGGTGGATTAGAAGTCCTTGGCTGTAACCGCAACATGTGTGTTTTTGTCTCTTGGATGGATGTGGTCTGGGTCTCCAGCATGCAGGAAATTGTCTGTGTCATCCAGCTAACAGGTGCTAGTTAACCCACAAATACTGCCTCAATTAGATGTCAATGTAAAATAGTGAATCTAATAGAAATTTACAAATAACCTAAATTAATATTTAATTTAGGTTTTTTTTCCATTTTAAATTCCTTGGCTGTTTAGTTCTTCTTGAAAGCTTAAAAAACACAATTCTTTGCTTCAGTTCTAACTGCAAGCACGCTATTATAAGGTGAACTGGACTCTGCTGTGTGCACATTGTGAAAGAAACATGTTTTGCAGGATGGTGCTGGCTTATATGGTCAGATTTCTTTAAACCAAGCAAATTGAATCTCAGAAATAATCCCTAAACATCCATAGATAGATAGAGAGACAGACTCCTATCTGACTCTTTTTCTGTGTCTCTTTTCTCCAGGGACCTGAAGAATAATTTGATAAGTACAGTGGAGCCTGGGGCTTTCCGTGGTCTGCTAGCACTGAGGAGACTGTAAGTATGATGAAGCCTTGTAATAGCCTTCTCCAGGGTACGCGGGGAGAGTCCTTTGGCTTTAGAGACAACGAGAAAGAGTATTTTAAAGTACAGAGTTGAAGAGTGGACTGAAGTGTTTAACTTAGGCAAAAGGCCTGCAGTACAGTTTTAGACATTCACAAACCTTCTGTGCCTGAGCAAAGCTAACTCAGGGAAGAACAGAATAGCTGCAAGTTAGCAAACTGACTCCGAAAGCAGTCAGCTTCACAGGATAGTGTAGTTACAGTTTGCTAACAGTATCTACCATTGGAAAACTCTCAATTGGACTGCTGCAACCCCTTGAGATGAGGATGAGGATTACGGGATTGACTGAGCTTGTGAGCCCCGGCACTCTGCTGGCATGCTAACTGCCACTGTCTGGTTTTAGGACCTTACCAGGTCTGAAAAATGCAACCTCAGATCATCAACAACACATGACATAACACCCTTACTGCTTCCATACCAGCAAGTGTGAGCACCTGTATAAATGCAGTGTGCTGAAGGTGTGTTAACACAATGCCAAGGAGAAAGGACATCAGCAATGATCTGAAAGAAGCAGTTGTTACTGCCCGTCAGGCCATTTCCAAGTACATCTGAGACTCTACAGACCTCAGTTAGCATGCTATATGCTAAAACTCATTCATTCAAAAGGACTGAACAAGTCTGACTTGTTTGGAAGGGCTGGCATGAGGAAGCGTCTTCTCTTTAAAAAAGAACATAACAGCACGACTTAGGTTTGCAAAGTTGCATCTGAACAAACCACAAGACTTCTGGAACAATGTCGTTTGGACAGATAAGACCAAAGTGGAGATTTTTGGCCACAAACCGCAATACCACAGTACCACAGTACCACATACCAAATGTACACATCAGCACAAGCACCACATACCAAATGTCAAGCACAGTAGTGGAGGGGTGATGATTTGGGCTTGTTTTGCAGCCACAGGACCTCGGCGGGCACCTTGCAGTCTTTGAGTCGACCACGAATTCCTCTGAATACCAAAGTTTTCTGGAGTGAAATGTGAGGTCATCTATATGACAGCTAAAGCACTGCATACCAGCAAATCTACACCAGAATGGCTGAAAAAGCAAAAATTCAAGGTTTTGCAATGGCCCGGTCAGAACCCATACATCCTCAGCCTTGACGTGCAGTGTCATGACCTTAAGAAAGCCATGTATAAATTATGGCCTGCAAACTGAAGCAACATTGTTAATGAAGAGTGGGTCAAAATTTCCTCCACAACAGTGTGAGAGACTGAAAGTAATACAGAATGACTTCATATTGTTGCTGCTAAAAGTGGTTACTGCTACTGAAGCTACTGAATCATGGAGCGTACTTAGTCAGAAGGTGTATTTTCTTTTTACAATGCCTGTAAGTAAGACTATATATAGTCACCAGGGTGTATTTTATTGCCTGCAAGTAAATGTTCTGTGTATAAAAATGACATAGCAATTTTAAAAACGTTGAATGTTACTGCCTTACTAAGTTAAAAATGGCACTATGCTTACATCAAATGAATTCTTCTTTCCAATTTTCGATTAAAGTTATGCTTCTGTTAAAGTTACAGCAACATTTCAAATGTTTTACAGACTTAATTGGAAGGCAAATATTCAAAAAGCAAATGCAGTATTAAAGGTTAGCTTTCCTTTGTTTGTGGTTTTCGTTGATTTCTTCTCTTTGGGTAATTCGCTCAATGATTACCCTCATCCTTTCTACATATAGGCTTAGGGAGTGAGTGACATGATTGCAGCCTGATAGTTAGTGGGATCTGGGCTGGCAGGGATGCAAACAGTGAGTTAGCCACGCTGATTCGGGGCGCGTGTGCGCAAGGCTTGGAGTGCAGCGGAGTGCTAATTTAAGTGCTCCCCAACTGGTGATTATTCGAGTGCTCTGCTTATTTTCCCACAGCTGCTCCAGCAAAACAGCTCTTTAATTACAGTGTGAGGGCACGGAGCCACGGACGCGACAATGCTCAGACACTCGCACATGGAAGCCCAATGCGTTTGCACATGTTTGTGCATTTCGTGCTCCGTGTGCCAAAAATGGTTATGTGACGAGTAAAAGGTCAGGACAAATATTCCAGGAAGTTGAATAGGCTTTACAGCTGTTTAACTTCTCTGTTCAAGCAGCCATGAAAACAGACATATTGCTTTCCAGTTAGCTCCTGTTCCAACTCGTTCTGTACAATAATATCAGCAAAATTCACCATATGAACAGAAGCCTTTTTCTCTTTGCCTTTTTGTTCATATAGGGATCTGTCCAACAACAGGATTGGCTGCCTTTCCCCTGAAATGTTTCTCGATCTGGGTAACCTCTCGAAATTGTGAGTAATCCCCTAAAATTGGAAACATGTCTTGCATCTCTTTATGCTTTGTATTCACCAAATCTGCAGAGGATATGTTTGATATGGTTTCAGTAATGTATGAAAAAAAAAAAAACAGTAGTAAAGCCTTTTTGTATGTGAGGAGTGATCTGTTTCTCTCTGTGTGTTTTTCCCACAAACAGGAATTTATCTGGGAACATCTTCTCCACTCTGACCATGGGACTCTTCACACACCTAGCTGCTCTCAGAGTACTGTAAGAGAAACATACAAGTGTACAGTATAATGGCCTGATCCATTCAGTTTTCTACGTTTCACTTGTTTGTTGTAGTTTAGAGCATGGATGCAGTGGTAAGCCAGTTATTGGCTGTTTTCACTGCAGTTATTTTGGCTTGTCATAGGAAGAAAATGACATTAATAATAGCTATGCAGCACACACAGTAGGTTGGAAGTCTTGCCAATGAGTGACCATAATACATGCACTCAGCAACTAGACCAGTTTTTCCTGTTATGACATCAAATACGTGTTAGATGAATAAAGTCCAAACATAGGCGCATGGGTTGTAACAGTATGCTGTATTCTCACCAGGCACTTCAGCGCTGAGACTTTGTTCTGTGACTGTCAGCTGAAGTGGCTGCTCATCTGGGCTAAAAGCAACTCCGTAAAGATCGGCAATGACACGGTCTGCGTTTTCCCTACCCACCTCCACGGCCTGGAGTTTCGCAACCTACGCGAACCGCAGCTCAAATGTGGTAAGGATTTAGCTAATGGTGGTGGCTGGCATTTACTGTCTCCTAAAACTGGTGTAAATGTCGGGGCTATTTAGAACAAAAGAACTTGACTGTTGAAAGTTTTTAGCTTGCAAAATAAAATGACACTAAACACTAACCTGTTATTTATATAGGTCATATTAAACATGGCCAAAATTTCACATAATGAGATAATTGTATTTACAATTTCCCCGTGAGCTAAAACCTCAGACTACAGACTGCTCTGTTGCAGTTTCTTTCATGATGTATTTGACATGATACAGCCACTGGTAGCTGGTATAGGCTCCAGCCCCTCATGACCCTTATAAGGATAAGTGGAAGAGATGGATGGATGAAAGGATGGACAACAACTGGTTGCAAGGGAAATTTTCACATTATCTGACTGGTTGCAGTGGTCCCTGGAGGTTGCTGGAAGTCACTAGGTGAAACTGATTGCAAAGCGAATGCTAAACCAAAATCCCCCCTATGAATGTTTTATTTGTTGGCAGCTTGCGGTGGTTGACTGTAGTTTGCATGAAAGATGCCAACTTGACTGCAAACACTCACAAACTACTGGCTAAGATGTAGTAAAACGTGAGAAAGTATGGTGCAAGTTGGAAATGGAGAAAGTTTGCCCCACTAGGCACAATGTTTCCAGTTTGTGCTGCATTTTTCACAGTTTCACAAGAATAGCTAGCGAGTGTTTGTAGACAAGTTAGCCTGTGATTGTCACAACCAAAGCAACCACAAGGAAGTATTTTTTAACTGGTTGGGAATACAGATTTTTTGCTAATGTAGATAGAGTGAGTGGAGACTGGACGTCACTCACAACTCGCTAGAACTTTATTTTTACCAATCTTTTC